AAACCGGGAACAGGACAAAACAAACAGGCAGGTAGAACACAAACAATGACCTGGCAGTGAGTGACTGAGAGACAGGGGTTTATAAAGTGACTTGAACAGGTGAGGAGAGTTGTGCTGATGATGGAGTGCTTGATTACTGATCAAGGACAGGTGAAGGGAGTTGGACTGGTGCTGAGGGAGTGGCTGACAGGTAGAGTGAGGAGCTACAGAAAAACACACACAGAACACACAAGGCAAAGCCTGATCGTGACAATATGTAACGCTTCCAGCTTCACCGGGGACCTTTTGCTCTGCAACGGGTTGCTACAGAAAGCCGATGCAGTTGTGAGAGAGGAGATATAATATTCATTTCACTTCTCTTAACGGTGTCTCCCCTTGATTGCATGCAACGAAATGGTCGGTATCTCTGAGTTCGGCTCTGGCTTGCTGTCTGTTTATATTTTGGCAGCTGGTGACTGTTCTAGTTGACACTGTTTCTCACTCTGCTTCAGCCAGCAGCGTGTTTGCATACCCAAAACTATATTTACAATTCGTATAATTAGCAACCTAGCGTTGATAGAAACAACACACATCAGACGGCAGTGCTCCTCTCGTCCAGGCTGGTGGTCATTGAGTAGACTGATGCGGTGTTTCTGTCCTGAGGCATGAAGACCTTGACCACCTTACACAGCCTGCAGGGAGCCCTGTTTATCAACCGCAGCAGGTGCCTCCTGAACTTCTGCCCAACAAACACGTACAGGATGGGGTTGAGGCAGCTGTGCGAGCAGGCAATGGCCTCAGTGGCTTGTAAAGCCAGTCTGATGGCTTTGCTGCTCTCACATTCCGTGTAGATGTGCAATAGCTCCAGTGCTTTGAAGAAGGACGCAATGTTGTAGGGGACCCAGCAGCAGAGGAAAACGGCCACCACTATGAGAACCAAATGGATGGCCTGTTTCTTGGATGAGTGGCTGTACAGCAGCCTCCAGACAATCTGTGAGTAGCAGAAACCCATGATGAAAACGGGGACAAAAAGACCCAAAATGTTTATTTTAAACAGGCTGAAGATCGTCCAGAAGTGCGTGTTGGTGGGGTCATCCAAATCCGCTTTGGGATATACAGGGTAGCAGAACTGAGTCATATTAGCACCAGGCTGCTGTTTGAGAAAGATCAGGTCAGGGAAAGAAGCCAAAAATCCAGCCACCCAAGTAACGGCAGCCGCGATCATTCCAAAGGACCTTGTCCGTGCTCTCACAGCGTAAACGGCGTGTACTATAGCCAGGTAGCGGTCGATGCTCATTAGACTGATGAAAAAGATCCCACAGTAAAAGACGATATGATATATACCCAGGACCACTTTGCACATAGCGTCCCCAAACAGCCACTGGTCCTGGGCTTGGTGGGCTAGGAAGGGAAGGGTGCACACCAAGAGAAGGTCGGCGGCAGCCAGGTTTAAGAGGCACACGTCGGTCATGCTGCGGAGTCGTACACCACAAGCAATGACCCAGATGACCAGAGAGTTACCCAGAAGGCCCAGGAGGAAGAAAATGACGTAGAGGGCTGGAAGAAAGTTGGCCACGTGACGCTCATACACGCACCTCCCATAGTCACCCTCGGGGTAGTCATAGTAAGTGTATTCTGGGGAGGTAACGGTGATGCTATCGGTGAAGGATGCTGCGATGCTATCGGTGAAGGATGCTTTGGTAGACCTGGTGAAAAACAGAGAAACAAAACCAGTACGGGGAAAACGAATGATTAGGACGTTCCCATTAGTTCAACTCAGTTTATTTGATCTACAACAATCTTGCATAGATGTAAAAAAAAAAAAAAAAAAAAACTCTTCTTCTTAACACTGTAGCTGTGAGGAATGAAAACAAATATGAAACCTTTTCACTAAGGAACACTGTCAAACAAAAGCAACAAAAATCAGTTGTGCTCTTGCAGCCCAATTTAGGAACACAGGTCAACAAAATAGATGTAAGGGCAAAATACGTATTAGAAATGAAATACTAGATTGAAATGAAATGCTCAGCTGCGTAGCTGATAAACATTCCTATGCTAGACTTGCAGTAAAGTGCAATAGTGGAAGCAAGCAAGGCACATGCTGACAAATATGCTTCACATACTTTATGATCATTTGAGGGACAAAAAGAACAAAACCTAGTATTATGTGTAGAGGCTATGGGTTTAAGCTTACCTTGGTAAGTCTTCTGTAGATGTACTCTCACTTATTCCTCTGAAAGCAACGATAGCAGAGACGTTTAAGGCCATGATAGACTTCCTGGGAAAAACAAAAAACTTGACCTACTTTCTGAAGAAAAGAAAAAAAGGAAGAGGTACACACCCTGGATCAGCTTTCCAAGATTCTGCTGAATAAATTGTTGTGCACAGATTTTTGAGTGTATCTCTTAAATGGTGGATCCAAAGGCCGTACAAGAGGTGAAAGTCAAGTGCCACATAACATGCATGCAAGTTACACAGAAATCGGATGTACTGGTAATTTAAAGAAGCGAGAAAAATTCAGTTCCTCATCAAAACCTTGTGATCAGATTCTTACAGTCTTTTTTTGTTTGGCAAACAAAAACCCGAACATTTCAACACACGTAGAACACGCGTAATTCTGCAGCTTATGAAGTGTTTTGTAGTGTATCTTTCTATAATCAATGGGTGTGCATGGTGTCTGAAGAGTCATACCATTGACCACAGTAGCCATAGTGTGGAAATAGTAGGGAAAAGACATCAGGTTGATTTAGCAGCAAACATGTCGACAGTTAAGATAGTTTTACTTCTTTCAATCTGTCTCTTTAATTGTGAGGAAGTGGACCCGTAGCAAGACACGCATAGGGTGGTGGAATGCCCTGAGGCTGCACATGATATGAATCTAAACACTTTAAACTATCCAAATACAGGAAATGTAACTCTTGTTGAGGTCCTTTTTAAAGTGGCAGTCAATGTAATAACTGTGTCTTTTCAAGCCATCGGCTGAATAAATTACTTGAATTGTATTGTGTATAAACCCCAACTGAACCTCTTGTAATAGCTGGACCAATAATGACCCCATGTCTAGAATGAGTTAAGTTAGGGTCAGTGTTAATCAATTCATTTCAACACCTGTTGAGCTTGCTATCCAATAACAATTGTACAGATATGGCACAGAAAGCATGTGCATATAAAAAAAAAAATTACCTGCGGGTGCCGTTAACACGATAGCTGATGGTGGTGTTTATTCTGGATCACAAGATGCTGAGGTGGACGATCAGATCAAAGAAATGATCAGCCATGCATCCAAGCAGATTATGTTATGTGCATGACAAATGACACTCTTCTCACACCTTCTCTCTTTGTGGTGTGCAAACCTCTTTTAAAAAACACTCCCATCCCCCTACCCAAGCTTTAGGTGGGCTTGCAGGCCTGCATATGCGAGATGGTTATGGTTATTTACTTCCTGCGAGTACTTTCGAAAGGTTCATGTAAGAGCCTACAGTGTCTGCGGAAAAACAGAACCACAAGTCCACATGTGCAAGCTTTTAAGAGATGCAATGCAACTCTGACCAGACGCACAGCTGGAGGCTTGCAGAGCTCTGCATGTTCGTGCTGTGATGCGTGGCAGAAGTGTTACTACAGATACGGCCATCAATGCAGTCTAGACTGACAGTTATTTAAAAACAGCACAGAATAGGGAACATATTACTTTTTCTTTGTATTGGAAAAGTTCTGACTAATATCTAATGCTCTAATTAAGATGTGACTATCGCATTTTACGGATCTTAAAATGGTTTATGCATCATTTTGAATGGTAGGCCCGGATGACTAAACACTGGCTTGTTAGTCAGGTGCGTTATGTGACTCAGGGATTCTGCTCTGCACACTTCTTGTCAAATACTTACAAGCTGCCAAGAATTCCTGCCTGAAATGGATGCATAGTGATGCAATGCTGTGTCAAGAAGTCACACCTGTGATATTTCTCACACGCACGCACATAGAACAACTGTTTAAACTCACAGATCAATAGTCTGAAAGGTTTTTTTTTTACCTATAAAAAGAAAGAAGCAACCGATTTTTATTTATTTTATTTTACAAAAAACAATATTGTTTTACAAGCTTCACATATATTTTAATTTACATAATTTAATGAATTGTTTTATAAAATTCTATAGACTTTCAAAATAAAAGATTCCCTTGTTCTTACGAGGAATAATCTGAGGACCATTTTACAGCTCCAAGCACCCGTCACACTGACAACACCACGCGCACAAACTATCTGTCTCACAACAGTCTAAACCCAGCTCACGTCTTTGTAGCAAGGTGAGTTTATCATTCTTAATAATCGGACTTCACAGGTGTGTTGGAAGTCTCTCTGTCTGTGGTGTCTCTGAGGCTGAAAGCCGTTCTGCTCTGGTGACTCCAGCAGGGGTATCTCATCAGCACTTTGCCCAGTGACTTCCTAAACTTCTCCCCTACAAATGCATAGATGACTGGGTTTACACAGCAGTGAGACAGTGCAAGGATCTCGGCAACGTGCACGGCGGAGTTGATGGTTTTTGAAGCCTCGCAGGTGTCCAGGATGTCCATGAACAGCTGCAGTGTCTGTAGGAAAACTGTGACATTGTAGGGCACCCAGCACACCACAAACACACACACTATGGTGAATATCAGCTTCACAGCCCTGTCCTTTTTGGCGTTCCTGGACTTGGATAGCATGACAAGGATTTTCACATAGCAGAAAATCATGATGGGGAGGCACACAAAAAGGCCCACTGTGTTCTCGCTGAAGTTTCGCAGTAACTTCCAAAAGCGCTGACTTTCCTCTGGGTACAGGGGATGGCATGTGGAGCTGTTGTCATCTTCGTCCATGTACAAAGAAGCAAATGTCACCCCAGGTAGTGCCATAACGACAGAAATAACCCAGATTGTGATGCTGGCTGTGATTCCATAGCGAAGTGTCCGGGCTTGCATGGCCGCAACGGCGTGGACTATGGCCAGGTAGCGGTCCACGCTCATTAGGGTCACAAACAAAGTCCCACTGTAGAAACTCAACTGTTCAGAGGAGCAGAGGGGGAAGCGAAATCAGAATCAGGCTTTGCTGGCCTCAATGAGGTTTTTTCATACAGCTCACAGTGACGTTACACAGCAGTAGTTTTACACGTAATGTCGTTAACATAAAATTGTTATCATACACAAATATATATATATATATATATATATATATATATAATCTGCCCTGTCTCCTAAAAATTATGTTCCCCCAAAACTAAACTGCATTCTCAATTACATTTGACTAGAAAAGTATTTTCTCCCTGATTACGTTTGTGTTTGACGTATTACAAATACGTTTCTAATCAACATATCTTTGCATTATTCTAGTCTTTATTATTGTTCTGTGATCTGCCTCTTCTCTACCAACGGCACCCACGAGTTGTTGCCCCGCGGCCTGTTCCGAGGGCTGACAGACCTGACGACGGGGTGCCTCGCGGCGGGGGCCGGCTGGAGGCTGCACGTCCGGTGCCAACGGGTGAACCATAAAACCAAGTCCCGGACGTTCTGGAGGTATTGTGGCCGGGTGATCTGCCTCGTTGCTGGGGAGGACTGAGCTGAGCGGTTCGGTTCAATACGATACAGTGGTGCCACGGTTCGGTATGGTTCGGTACATTTTCAATACAGGAAAAAAGCAGAAATGCCAAATCCTTGCGTGTCTCTTCATGGCTCTTCATCTCCCCTTCAGTAGTGAGGTAATGTGTCGTTACAGTCAAGTAGCTTTGTGTAGTCCGTGACGTATAGCCGTCCGTTGTCAGAGCAGCGGGTGCTTCAGACATTTGATTCTCTGTTTGGGCTTTTGTTTTCTTTTACAAAGTAGGAATTATGGTCTGGAGAAATGGGCTCTTGAAGGAGTAGCGTCACCGGGCTCAATAACATTTTAAGCATGTTCGTACAGCCTGCGTTTTCCACTACAGAGTAGGGTCTCATGTCCGCGGCTATACATATACCATATCGAATCACTTGGGAATAGCTACCTAAACGCTGCGGGGAGAGTTTGTAGCGTGCTAGTTTAGCATAGTTTAGCATAGCGTGCCTCTCCCAGAACAAACGTGCCTCACCAGAGTAGAAAGTTTTTTTTCGTGGTGGGAGTGTCAGACAGCACGTTGCCTGTTACGTCGGATGATTTGCCTTGTTGAGCACAGTGGCTCCACCGAGAGAACATTATATTTCACACAATTTAAGCTTCTGCATTTTCCAAATGCAATAGTATTTTTCAAACGTATTCGGTTCGCAATGCGTACTGCACCGTAAGCCTCGTACCGAACGGTTCAATACAAACAGGTGTATTGTTACACCCCTAAGATATATATTAAATTTTTTTTCTAAATAAAATAAAGCCCCACATGATAGGCTCCTGTCATCAGTTTGCATGACGCAAGTGTTGGGTAATTGTAGGCCCAGAGAGGCATGGTTATAGCCATGATGAGGTCAGACAGGGCCAGGTTCAGCAGGCATACATCCGTCATAGTCTTCAGCTTTATGTACCGGAGGAGAACCCAGAGCACCGTGGTGTTGCCTGTGAAATCAATTCAAATCATTAGTTGTTACGTTAGGTTTCTTAAATGTTTCCTTTGAAAGCTGTAAAACAGAACTGTTGCACATATCTAACTGTTGCATGCATCATGTTTCAGCTGATTGCCTAAAATGCAAATTTATATTCAAATGTGGAAAGAGAGTGAGACATGTTTCCTTTTCTCTGTTACATTCAGGTCTTTTTGAACATACCAAGCAGACTTAGACAAAACAGAATGTAGTACAGAACCACCAAGACCGTGGATCCATCAGGCAATTCTGGACCTCGATCCTCATCGCAGGTGTCATTGTAATCATACTCCGAGTAGAGCTCGTACTCTGATATGGTCATAATGCTGTGTGAAGGAGGAACAGAACACACACAGATTACTTTGAGTGAACACATTATGAGATGAAAGGAAATAAATCTGACCAAAATAGCTAGAGTGACGCTTAAAGTCGCTAACAATTGTGGTCTTTAATGTAAAGAGACAACAGAGGCATGGGTCGGCGTGACTAGGTGTCATCATACAATCAACAAAACATTTAAATTATTAACTAGTAATTCTTTTTACCAGAATTAACATCATTACAATTCCTCCAAGTAAAAAATACATTATAGAAATTATAAACAAGTTGTAATAACAATTATATTACACAAAGTTTCACGTTCACTACAATTTAACCCCTTTTTTTTACATTTGGGTGACAACCTTTTTTGTGTGTGTGCACCTACTATCCTAGTGAGTAAGTACCTATGCTCATAGGTTCATTTTCATTTACTTTATAGCAGGCATTAACTTGTGGTTGTACTGCTCTGCTCTTCAAATGAAACTTCCGAGTAGACTTGATGCAACATGCGTTTGAGTTCAAACCTAACTCAGCTCTGGGTTGTTCTGGGAAATGTGTAATTTTACCATGGTGGTCCTCCCAGACCTTCAATCCATCAACAAACTAAACGTGAAAACACAAAACAAGACTACCAACCAACAGTTTTAAACGTTCTTTGTCAGTAAATTTTGCTTTTCTTGCCAAAAGCCTAATCCTGTTGCTCACTTTCCTTTGGGCCTTTGCTCTCTGAACTCAGACTACTGTCTACCAGAAATAATAGATAACTAACAGAGGGTTTGGCAGAAAAATGTGACCATCAGTAGAACAATCTAAGGTCCAAATAAAACCAAATCTCTTCTTTCTGTCTTCAAGCCAATCCTTAAGATTGACCTCAATGTCCTCTCATTCGTGAAGCCAAAGTGGCCGACTCATTCAAATGTAAAAAATAAAAGTAGTGCTACTTACAATGTCAACAAGGAGATCTATTGACTCCTGATTCTATTTTCTTCACTTCATTTGCTCTGAAGTGTTGCTTCCACTCACAGATCTTCAAGAAACAGAAATAGCATGTTTTCCTCTTTATTATGAAAGATACAATGTTCCAATCATGATGACTGAACTGTGTATTTACCACCCTGAACATTTTGCACTGACGAAACCTTAAGAAAAGAAGAAGTAATTCACATGTGAATGTGAGGGAATTCAGAGATGTTCCTGGACTTTCCTTCCCTTTTAAGTTGAACCTTTCAAATCCAATCATCAGTTAGTGAGTCATGCCTGAAAGGCGTCTGTAACAAAGTTCAACTGCTGCCATTTCGAACCTAAAAAGAATTGTCCAAATCTAAAAGAAATCCACAGCAATAATTATGATTGTGGTGTTGACTGTAGCTGATAACTTGACTTTTTCTGAATGTATGGTGTTAGGATGCCCGAGCAGCCATGGAGGAAAATGAGCAGACCAGGAGTCCGGACGAGGTTTCAGCTGAAGCTTCATTTATTTGGATATTCAAAGATTACACCAGTGTCTACTAGTCTCCACTCATTCACCCTACAAAACAAAACGAGCTCCATTTTATACACCTGGTGACTCTAATTAGACCAGACAGACCATCTACTGGTAAGTATATCGATAATAATATAAGTACAATAAATAGTCACATGATTTCACCAACCCTAAAGATATCAATAATAATTTACCAATATTTACCATCCCTATAGATAGAGTAAATTATAAACAAATAATGAATCTAAATAAACAGAGCAACACATATCTACTTCACCCCTACCCGCTTCCTGTAGTTGGTACTTCCCGGAACTATACATGGGTGCTCAAGCCCCTGGGTATGGCCAAATCCCAATGTCCCCCTAAACCCTCAAACCCTGAACCCTCAAGGACCTACTGACGTCACCTGGTAAGTGGGTGAGTGTGAGAGACTGTGAGGGCTTGAGATGGTGTAAATAGGAATGGGACAGCAGTTTGCTGCAACATATCACATTACCATGAAAACGACAAGAAATATGATGTATAATTGTGTGTATTTATTTTATACTTTGTACTCCCTGATTTGAAAGTCTTCCTGGCTCTTTCCTCACAAGATGAGAGGTAACTTCATATAATATATTTACTCGTTTTGTCAAAACAGCTTCAATGACAAAATCAAAAATTTGATGAATAAATAAATAAATATCTGATTTCATGTTAATTTAATAAGACAGGCTGAACACACGTGATCCGTCCTCTTTGTTTACCTTTTTTTTTTTACGTCTCCATGCGTCCACTGTTTACCCCGTGTTTAACGTCACATTTCAATGATTTGTGGGTAATTCCCTTAGGCTAAGTCAGCATACCATGCTGACTTACGGAAAGGGTTCATAAAGGGCTCAAAATGTCTGCAAGAGAGCCCTCAAACACTTGACGATTTGACATCCCTAAACCCTCACGGACTTCGCGGGAGCACGCCTCAAAGTCCGTGAGTCCGTAAGGGGGGACATTGGGATTTGGCCCATCTGTTTTGCCCGAACACCCTGGGAAGAGGAAACAGGCAGAGGTGAGTTGTTGCCATATATAAATTAACCTTTATCTTGGCAATATATATACAATATTGTTCTGCCACATAACTAATTAGACAGTCTTACAATCTGGCCGGTTCAATCAGTCACTCATTGCCGTTGTCTATTTGTTTGTTCGCAGGGAGAACTAAAAGGAACATCTCTTTGTCCCAGCTGTGCACATGGCTCCCAGCATTCACAGTCCTACAATAAATAAATCCAATAACATTGTGTGTGTGTGTGTGTTTCCCTTGGTAACTTCATCACATCACATTTCAAATACTGTCTGCAGCATAGGTAACGGCGGTGCGTCTTTACACATGGTAACGTCAGAGGTACATGCAATCTTGTCAGCAACCATCACCAGTCTAGATGTGTCTATGAATATCACAAACGTCTTCCTACTCAGACCATAATCAAATTCATGTGATCTCTTTTAAACCACATCTCCCCATCAACACATATGGAACCACTAGCTTTGACAACCATGCCGACCCTCACTTCCTGTGTTTATTGTAAATGAGCACAAGTTGTGTTGTGCTGTGGATTTGGTGACCCCAAAATAAACCACAATTCAGCATCATCATAGTTAGGTAGCCTTAGATACGATAAGAGATGTAACACTTTATAATCTTCACTGGCTTACTAAACTACTTCACCAAATAAAACATGGACAAGAAAAGAGGAGCATTAAGCATAAAGCTGAAATATGTGAATAAATGTATGAATGTATGCAACTAACCCTGGAAATGAAAGTAAAATAACTGAGACAAATATGTACTCAGAATGAAAACACAAGAAAGAATTCCAATTTGCAATATACAGTACAAATATGAGGCATAAAATATGGAGAAAATATATGAAAAGTTACAGGGTGTGTACGATGAGCCAAACTTTGTTCCAAAAGGTGCTACATAACCCCGTGTTAGTTACTTTGTGGCTTTGATTCATCATCAGCCATTGAGTGAAAGAACTTTCACAAGGACAGTGTAAAAAAACAAAACAATTTATTGTTTAATACCATACAGCATGAATGTTTCTCTTCAATTTGCGTTTGAAAGGACTCAGCCACGCTAAAACAAACTTTGTGGTCGCAGGCCGTTACAAACAAAAGGTTCCTGGTTTACAGTCAAGTGCTCAGCAGGAAAAGAAGGGGCATCGTATAACTTTTGAGAGAAATTCCCTGAGATCATAAAGTGATACTGATACTCATCAGATCGCACTTAATGGCACTACACATCTGACATGTTATTGTCAACATGAAATATTCCAGTGCAAACTTAAAATGCATGTAAAAATCAGAGTCTAAAGATAATATGTACACACATGCAGCTTTTTAAGATGACAGTGCTGATGACTTAACACTGTCATAGGTGGAAAAAAAGAAGTGACAAAACAAAATCATTCAGCATGAACAGTGATAATATGGTCCCCAGTAATAACATGACCCAGATCAAACATGTTAACTCTGCAAGTCTGAAAATCTACTGAAGAATAATGTAATTTATGAGAGAGAGAGAGAGAGAGAGAGAGAGAGAGAGAGAGAGAGAGAGA